AAAAAAGCTACGAAAACCTTAAAAGTGCAGTTAAGGCACAATCGTCATCAACAGCAATAAAACCTCAGATCTGACGTGCAAACTTCCGCAAAGAACAAACATCTGCAATACAATGCTAACCACAAAGGAAATAAAACTAATTGTTTTGGCAATTTGAAACAAGTGTTTATTTATTGGCTAATCTTTGATCGTTTAAGATGCAGTTATTTTAAAAATATAGCCGCTTATAAAGAATATCAGGGTTTCAATGATCAGCATTGAGAATATCTCCACAAAGCAACTGCAAGTAGTAGTACAATTAAATGCAACTGAAAGCTGCTTATAGGTAGCTGATAGGCGACAAGTGATGCCTGGAAATTGGAAAACCACAACTTTACCCAAATTATTCCAAACCCACTTCAATCTTGTCGAGATTGGGAGCTGTAATTAAGCCAGATACGTAATTAGTGCTATTTGTAAAAGATATAAGTGATCCTTGAGGAAATTAATGGAACAAGAATTGTAAATATCGTTTATCGGTAAATTTAAGTATCGCCTGATTATTGTATCTTACTATATATAAAGCGAGACGATATATATATATATATATATATCTGTGCCATTTTACTGACACCACAGCATCAACTTTAACGCGACTTTCAGCAAAAACCGTAAAAGATATACAACTGAAACTTTTTTGACTGGGTCAAATGCTTTTATGCTTTTCAAATCAGCATGAAAAAATAAAAAATTGGCCAAGGAATAGGAGTTTTAGAGCCCAAAATTTGGACCCCCAAGTGGTGTCAAAAACGCGAATTAAATAGGTAATAATTATTTTAGTCTCTTGAGTCTTGACACCATTTTAGGGTTATACGGGTTCCTGCTAGTTATTATAATACGGTTGCAACAATAACGACTTTCGTGATCCACTGATCGAGCTAGCAAGTCAAGTTATTAAGATAATTATTATTAAGATAATTGTTATTAAGATAATTATTATTAAGATAATCATTATTAAGACAATTATTATTAAGACAATTATTATTAAGACAATTACTATTAAGACAATTATTATTAAGACAATTATTATCAAGACAATTATTATTAAGATAATTATTATTAAGATAATTATTATTAAGATAATTATTATTAAGATAATTATTATTAAGATAATTATTATTAAGATAATTATTATTAAGATAATTATTATTAAGATAATTATTATTAAGATAATTATTATTAAGATAATTATTATAAGATAATAATTATTATTAAGATAATTATTATTAAGATAATTATTATTAAGATAATTATTATTAAGATAATTATTATTAAGATAATTATTATTAAGATAATTATTATTAAGATAATTATTATTAAGATAATTATTATTAAGATAATTATTATTAAGATAATTCCATTTTTACGTGACGGACGAATCAATAAACAAATCAAACTGTTCAACAAACATGATAAAAACACAACCATACTGTCTAAAAACTTATTATGTTTATTTTCATTTCTCTCCAAATAACAGCAATCGTTTCGTCATAACATCATATTCACAACAGACAAGCAGGCAGTTACATATACATATAATACTTGTAATAACTATCACTGCACAAAAGAACATATACAAAATACAACGTCGCAACTGCAGCATCTAGCCTGACATGCATATTACGATATAGCCATTATCAAGTTAAGTTACAGCCCGGTATTGGCATGTTAATAGCATGTTAATAGCATGTTATTGGCATGTCAGGACGAATGTGTCCTACAATACCCTGCTACATGTCAGGACACATGTTATTGCCACCCTATTATAACTGTATAACTCACGTCATAAAGTGTGACTACCTCTGACAGTAGTACAACTACGGAGAGAGATATAATACACATGACACTGTCACCAGTCAAACACCCTGTACGAATCTACAATAGACATGACACTGTTTCTTGGGCTAAATTTGTATTGATCCCGTTTGTTGCGACTAGGAAAAGGATCTTATCAGGAAAGGAATTATTCGACGTTTCGATATAACAACATCGTATTCATCATCTCAAATTATTTGTTATATAGTAGAGTAGTAGTGTTGAAAGTATTAAAACACATGATACCAGCACGAACTAATAATACACATGACACCTCGAAAAAGCACACGCTTAAGACAAATACACATGACACTGCCAGTCCTGCTAGTTGTAGTGTTGCTATTCTGGGGTTAAAGCGTTAGCTACAAGAGTAACTGTCAGGATAAAAACAATATCATAACACGATTTCTCGCCCCACACCAAAATAATAATATTAACAAAGAACGAAATTTGAAAATCTACAATACACATGACACTGCCAGTTCCGTATGTGAGCTGCTGTTGCTATTTAAAGCGCTACTTTTCACCACGTTGATAGAGGCAGGTTTCATACTTCGTGCATGGTAGGTGCCATGGCAACTAACGCTTTTACAACTACTGGATATAGTCCGATATAGCACTTCGAGAAGCTTCCAAAAATTGGGTATGGAAATTTTTTGAGTCAGCAAGATCAGTGAAAGTAAGAATTTGAGGCTGTAAAATAATTTATGTATTTACTGTATATTTATATATTATAGTCTACAGAAGAATTCATGTAATTGTATTGTGAAGCGTGCACAGTCGAGGAAAGTGTCAGGAATTGCAAGCACTTAAGTTTTCAGGGGCGTGTGTATTTGTAGTGCTAGCAGAGACCTTATGTGTTGTGTTTTATACAAGGAAATGTTTTTCAATTTTATACATGGAAACAGGAAATGTTTTTAATTTTGACATGTTTCAACGTGGACGCAGTGGTATAAGTATAACGAAGGGCCCCGCTGTACGCGGGGGGAGGGGGCATCTTAGGGGGGCGCCAAATCGTTGTTTGAATGTGGGACAATTTTGAAAAACTTATTTGTGGTACTTACTAGCAAAACTGCGCGTTTTGCTCTAGAAACACACTTTTTTAGAGATTTTACCGGCGTAATATCCTCTAAAATCACCTAATTTGTCTAATTTCCGGAAGGGGCGTTAAAAGGGGAAAGGGCGCAACAGGAGGGCGCTTTTTCGGCAGGGGCGCCAACAGGCAACGTTACTGCGTGGAAGCAGTGTGTTTGTACAAGAGAAAGTAAGTGTCGGAATTTACTGCAATTACGGAATTCGTGACGAAAAACTGCGATGCAATTGAGCAAAATAATGACTGCAATCATGCTATCATACAGAACACATCATATAACGATGTTATCAAAACTTCAAAACATCGGAGTTATTGCAGAAAGCGTGACAACAATATCCATCCCAGGATAACCGGTAATAGGAACATTAATCTGTAATAGGCAATAAAAGGATCAAAGTGCAACAAGAAGCATCACCAGTGGTTGTCATGGCAACTAACTGCATCGCCATGGCAACCAACCGCTTTGTGTCTCTCACAAATATTTCAATAGCTTTTTAGCCCGAGCATTACAAACGCGGAGAGCAAATCACAACCCAATGATGTGTTTAATGATTGGTAAAACAACCAATGGATTTGTTGATTGCAATCTGTCACGTTACCAGCAGAAGCAACCTTATTTTAGTATTTTGGACCGGATACTTAAAACCAATTAAGTCTTGAGTGCGACTTGATGGCTCAAGAGTTGCAGTTCTTTCAAAGTCTTGTGCACAATTTCCCATCATACATGTTGGATTGTACAAGATTCCACTGCAGCCGAGATATCTGTAACCAACAACTGATATTGTACTGCATACTTTTCAGAATGTTCATGAAGGTTTATTACAGTTCAAAATGAACTTTGAAGTCTGATTAGAATATGCAGTCTGGAAGGATCTGGGCCTGTAAAGCTATCCAGTATAAACTATCCACTATGGGCCTGTAAAGCTATCCAGTAACTATCCACTATGGGCCTGTAAAGCTATCCAGTAACTATCCACTATGGGCCTGTAAAGCTATCCAGTAACTATCCACTATGGGCCTGTAAAGCTATCCAGTAACTATCCACTATGGGCCTGTAAAGCTATCCAGTATAAACTATCCACTATGGGCCTGTAACTATCCATTGACAGTGGCAATATCTGACAATATCAGTGGCAATATCTGACAAAATATCAATCTAACAATTAGTACAAAAAACACGTACACTCAAACACAAGATACGGTCTCCCTACATACTACACACTACACACGTCTATACACTGTAACTATGTAATAATTAAATGTAAATTAGCACTACACCAACAAACTGGTGCTCATGACTTAGTTGGGTGCGAGATTGAGGACGGGTTCAAAAACAAACAAACAAAAAGGAAAATTAAACAAAAAAAACATAAATTAGCACTATACCTAACAACACATTAACAACCCGCACATACAACTGGTGTTGTAGCGTGTGCTGCGTGACAGCACAGAATGCTGCTGGGAACACGGCAGCCGGGAAAAAGATACAGCATTACGACTAACACTGTAATAATACATGTTACAGCACTACAATAGTGCCTATATATATATAGTGCCTGCATAAGACACCGTGTATTAAAGTGTATTAGTGACGTACCCAGCTCAATGTATAAAAATACGCACTTTTCAGCACGGTGTGTCACGTTGAGTGGGAACACGAATAAAATAAACGTTTAGTGCATAAAATGGCAGGAGAAGGGACGTTTATAATTATCTCCACAACAAAAACAATTGGCTGTAATTGGAAGGTTTCTAATAACTCTTTGATTGTGTGGGACACAATTAGAGAGTAATTATAACACGACTCATAATTACTTAATTAGAACAACAAGAACACACACATCCAATTGTGTGAAGCGTTAATGTAAATTGTAAATTGTCAAGAGTATATAGAAGTTAGCTGTCTTCTTGACAAAATCGGCGGAGAGACAGTATAATTTGCTGTAAATCGCGGCTGGACATCAATTTCGGATGCATTTGTCGAACTGCTGCAGTATGTGCAGTACATGATTTAGTTAATTAATTGTCACTGTAATCGGAAGTAGCTGTCTGCATGTGTTAGTACCGGTAATTAAAAAGTAATTAGGAGTAATTTAGTAGAGTATAACGCTGATCAAGTAGAGTTAAATCTGGTAGAATCAATGATCTTTCCAAATTTTGCACATTAATTATTCTCCAAGCTTTTGTAAGCAAGTTGAAGGTTATTAACTTTGAGCAGGATAGGCCTTATATAATCCACTATCCAGCGTTTATATACCTAGATCATCTTGGACTAATTCTGTGACTCAACAAAGTTAATGAAATACGTAATTCTTGTACCAATTAGTGTTTAAGAAACTAGAGTTTCATAGCGCACAATTATTTTTAAGAATGATTCGTGCTTTATATCTCTCCATTGACATCTGATCCATCGTCCATCGATAAGTGATTGACTATGTGAACAAACCCTCACTATCAACAACAAACCCTCACTCCACACATGTGATATCAACAACAAACCCTCACTCCACACATGTGATATCAACAACAAACCCTCACTCCACACCTGGGATATCAACAACAAACCCTCACTCCACACATGTGATATCAACAACAAACCCTCACTCCACACATGTGATATCAACAACAAACCCTCACTCCACACATGTGATATCAACAACAAACCCTCACTCCACACCTGGGATATCAACAACAAACCCTCACTCCACACATGTGATATCAACAACAAACCCTCACTCCACACATGTGATATCAACAACAAACCCTCACTCCACACATGTGATATCAACAACGAACCCTCACTCCACACATGTGATATCAACAACAAACCCTCACTCCACACATGAGATATCAACAACAAACCCTCACTCCACACATGTGATATCAACAACAAACCCTCACTCCACACATGTGATATCAACAACAAACCCTCACTCCACACATGTGATATCAACAACAAACCCTCACTCCGCACATGTGATATCAACAACAAACCCTCACTCCACACATGTGATATCAACAACAAACCCTCACTCCACACATGTGATATCAACAACAAACCCTCACTCCACACATGTGATATCAACAACAAACCCTCACTCCACACATGTGATATCAACGTACGTACGTTTTGGTACGTTTTGGTGAGTTTGGCAGGGCGTGCTCAGGACAACTGCATCGAGTGCGTCCTCCTCCAGCTCAGCATTGAGTTATCGTTTGTCGGAGTGTATCCCGGAACCGGTGGTGTGTCTGGGTACTGTTCCATAAATCTGCCTAGACCAACTTTGAAACTGTCTAGCAATGTGATACTCCGGAGCTCCGATGGGAGCACGTTGAAGAGCTGAGCTGCTCTAACTCTAAAGCTGTTGTCGTAATCTGTTCTTACCGACAACTGTGCGTTTTTGTTCATGGCTGGGATCTCTGCCTTAATACCATGCCTTTGATGAGACTTGAACTCGAAGCCCGTATCGTTCGGAGCATGTTCATTAAGAATTTTCCATACATGAATTATAGAATAACGCTCTCTCCGCCTCTGAAGGGACATCAACTTAAGCTTCTTTAGCCTGTCCCAGTACTGGAGATCACGGCAGCCAGATATCTTTCTAGTAAAGGATCTCTGTACAGTCTCCAGCTTTTGTATCTCTGTGACTTTTGTAGGGTTCCAGACTGGACAGCAGTACTCTAGCTTAGAGCGAACCATGCTTTTGTATAAAGTCAGCATGACTACTTGTGACCGGTCTCTAAAGGCACTCAATGTCCAAGCCGCCATTTTTCTAGCTCCTTGAACTGTCTTCTCAATGTGAGGACCCCATGACCTACTGCTGCTAACATACACTCCAAGGTCTCTGACAGTTTCCTGTGGTGATATTGCGTGTCCTTTTGGTGTAGTATACTCAACAGTCTCTGGGTAGAACGGAAGCTCTCTTAGAGCTTTTGATCCATTCAGGGGGTAGTTTACAACCTCAAACTTCTGTTCGTGTAGCTCCATGTTGTTAACACGTGACCACTCGATGACTATGTTGAGATCATCTTGCAGTAACTCCACACTACTCATTCCTCGGATAGCCCCAATCAGCTTTGTGTCGTCTGCAAAGCTGAATCCGTTACTGTAGCTAATGCTGTTCAACAACAAACCCTCACTCCACACATGTGATATCAACAACAAACCCTCACTCCACACATGTGATATCAACAACAAACCCTCACTCCACACATGTGATATCAACAACAAACCCTCACTCCACACATGTGATATCAACAACAAACCCTCACTCCACACATGTGATATCAACAACAAACCCTCACTCCACACATGAGATATCAACAACAAACCCTCACTCCACACATGTGATATCAACAACAAACCCTCACTCCACACCTGGGATATCAACAACAAACCCTCACTCCACACATGTGATATCAACAACAAACCCTCACTCCACACATGTGATATCAACAACAAACCCTCACTCCACACATGTGATATCAACAACAAACCCTCACTCCACACATGTGATATCAACAACAAACCCTCACTCCACACCTGGGATATCAACAACAAACCCTCACTCCACACATGTGATATCAACAACAAACCCTCACTCCACACATGTGATATCAACAACAAACCCTCACTCCACACATGTGATATCAACAACAAACCCTCACTCCACACATGTGATATCAACAACAAACCCTCACTCCACACATGTGATATCAACAACAAACCCTCACTTCACACATGTGATATCAACAACAAACCCTCACTCCACACATGTGATATCAACAACAAACCCTCACTCCACACATGTGATATCAACAACAAACCCTCACTCCACACATGTGATATCAACAACAAACCCTCACTCCACACATGTGATATCAACAAGAAACCCTCACTCCACACATGTGATATCAACAACAAACCCTCACTCCACACATGTGATATCAACAACAAACCCTCACTCCACACATGTGATATCAACAACAAACCCTCACTCCACACATGTGATATCAACAACAAACCCTCACTCCACACATGTGATATCAACAACAAACCCTCACTCCACACATGTGATATCAACAACAAACCCTCACTCCACACATGTGATATCAACAACAAACCCTCACTCCACACATGTAATATCAATACGAAGCTGTCAGGATTCCCCGCAATTAGCTAGCAATAATTCAGATCATATTTCCGATTCTACATATTGTGTTGTTTTCGGATCAGTCTTCAAATTTGGTCAACAGTCGTTCTTTATTGGTCAACTGATTCGGGTTAGCTACTAGGTGGCTATTAATAGAGTAATAAAAGCAATTCACACGGGAAATAACTGGGAAGGATCGATTTGCTTTCAATTATAAACTATCTAGGTGTGTTTCAGCTTAGTAAATACAGGTACTTTATTAAGCCCAGTACCGTACGTACTTCTCATTATAGGGTACACCCTGTACGTGTAACATTGTTATCACAGATATACAGTTATTCATGATTGCTCAATAGATGAACAATGATAAAAATCAATCCGAAAGATTGATCTTCAGCAAAAATAGACTCATCGCCCAGATATCAGCAGATAGCAAACGGAGAATAAGATTAGCGTGGCATCAACACGGCAAACAAATAAAGTCGGCATACGGATCAGAATAACCATGTTAACTGAAGACGAGGTCGATAGTTATACTACCCGGGAGGAAGTGATGGGAAAGGAAAATGCTCGTCTCCCGGCACAGACGTGAATCATCAGAACAGTGCGGGGTAGGAAACAGGGGAAAACATATGACAGAGTGTGGGGTGAGGATGATGGTGGAACACGACACGTGACATGACGTCACACACACCACGTGACATGACGTCACACATGATATCGGCGGTAAGGAAACGCCAGACAATCCCACAGACGATTATTGAATAACTATTATATCGAGAAGAAATCATGTTGTCGTTATGAGCTATAAATGCAAACATTTATTCTAATAATACCCCCATATTCATGCTGGCAGAGTGTAACGACGCACGGGAAATTGTTTCATATAGGAAAGGCATTCCTTTTGAGAGGGTTGTGTTCTTATGGTAGAATTGGTGGAGGTAGTTGGATATGGTCTTATTAAAGTTGAAAAAACAGTTTTTATTGAACTAAACTTAAAAGATTTCTGATACCCACTATCGTCCATTTGAGTTTCTTCCAAATGCTGAGAAATTTGAAATTACATAAGTGAACAAATAAATATTGTCTTAACTAAAATTGCAGCTTTTCATCCGACGCTCAATTAAACCATCTTAAGAGCGGCTGAATAGGGTCAAAAATCTTGGTGATTTTTCCAAGGCTACCTATTCTGTATCAGCATGAGTCAAGAGAGACACTTGATTAACAGGCTAATAGCACGAACAATAATTCGGCTGGAGTCCACGAGAATAAGAGACACTAGACTTAAAACCAACTAAGTTAAGAGCATCAGGTTAACAGAAAACATTCTTTACGTGAGCTTTTTTAAGCTTATTTGTCACATAAACTATACTCGTATTGTGTTTACACGACAGAATAGGCAAATTTCAAACTCTTACTAAACGAATGGCCAATAGTTTCTCAATTCAAGCTGCATTTAAGTTATTCAAAGCATTTAAGTTATTCAAAGCATTTAAGTTATTTAAAGTATTTAAGTTATTCAAAGCACACTCGCGTGATCATGGTTATCAGTTTAGTAACGATAAAACGACGATAAGCCAGATTAACGTGAGCTATCAAAGCTCAAGACGATGGTTATGCTGGATATTTAATTTTATGCTGAGCATTGATAACACCAAACATAATTGGTCATGGGCAAAGTTTATCAAGTTTGCGCTGCACAATTACAATTGAAAACTAATCCCAACAACCGGATCTCAGACAGTCAAACTCCTCGTCTAATATATCGCGTACAAAACATAATGTTCCTTCATAAAACATTATGGTCGGTATTTAATGTTAAAACACCTCCACGATGCCTTCATGTCTGCTGGCCAAACTAAAATCCAGACAGTTGCTCATTACTTACTGTAATGACAACCATTAGTTATTATAAGTAATACTAAAACCATTTACTGATTCATTCATTCGGCTGTTCATTCCTTAACAGACAGCATTAACCCTGCAACTCCCTGTTATTAATAAACTGCCATGCAAATTCAATCGATAAGTGTACTTGAAATTGAATAGTTAGTTCAAGTAATAAATAGATAGATCTCAAACAGAAGAGCTAACCAAACCAATTAAACCAATTAAACCAGTTAAACCAATTAAACCAATTAAATGTTTATTTGTATGAGAGAGGTATTATAAACCGCGACTAATGTAAATATCCTCGTGTGAGCCTACTTTTAGTAGACGCCTTATTTTCTATCCATTAGCGGATTATGAGTGAGTATGTGAATATTATGAGTGAGTATGTGAGTATGTGAGTATGTGAGTATGTGAGTATGTGAGTATGTGAGTATGTGAGTATGTGAGTATGTGAGTATGTGAGTATGTGAGTATGTGAGTATGTGAGTATGTGAGTATGTGAGTATGTGAGTATGTGAGTATGTGAGTATGTGAGTATGTGAGTATGTGAGTATGTGAGTATGTGAGTATGTGAGTATGTGAGTATGCGAGTATGCGAGTATGTGAGTATGTGAGTATGTGAGTATGTGAGTATGTGAGTATGTGAGTATGTGAGTATGTGAGTATGTGAGTATGTGAGTATGTGAGTATGTGAGTATGTGAGTATGTGAGTATGTGAGTATGTGAGTATGTGAGTATGTGAGTATGTGAGTATGTGAGTATGTGAGTATGTGAGTATGTGAGTATGTGAGTATGTGAGTATGTGAGTATGTGAGTATGTGAGTATGTGAGTATGTGAGTATGTGAGTATGTGAGTATGTGAGTATGTGAGTATGTGAGTATGTGAGTATGTGAGTATGTGAGTATGTGAGTATGTGAGTATGTGAGTATGTGAGTATGCGAGTATGTGAGTATGCGAGTAAGTAAGTAAGTAAATAAACTAAGTAACTAAACTAAGTAACTAAACTAAGTAACTAAACTAAGTAACTAAACTAAGTAACTAAAATAAGTAACTAAACTAAGTAACTAAACTAAGTAACTAAACTAAGTAACTAAAATAAG